ATCTTCTGATTCTTCTATCTCAGGATCAGAATCAGAAGAGAAGCAAGACGAGTCGGATCCACTGTCTTTGTCACCATGCTCAAGCTTGTAAAATCGTCTCTTTATCATCTTTTCCTAGTAAAACTGCAAAACCCTAAACTCAAAATTCGCAAAGGAGCAAACTTGTGATTAGTGTGAGTAGAAAAGAGGAGACTTCGTACCTAGGGTTTCGCAGAGAGAGCTTGGAGACTGAAAGGGGGAGATTTTGCTAAAAGAAGAGAAGAGGGTTTAGGGTTTATAGGTTATTTTTGTAATTAGATAATTTCTCTAAGGGTGTTTTAGTAGTTTTAGTGATCAACCTTTTACAACTGTATGCGTTTATAGCCCCAGAAGTGGGTTCATTGTACATCACCATCAACGCAAAAAAGCTCTTACCTTTGGATTATCGGTGAGTAATTAGGGTTTAACAAAGCCAAATTTCTAGAGCTTCTTCTTCCTACTTGGGATTTCAGCAACTTTCTTGCTCCGATTCTTAGGTTCGATAGAAAAGTTTTGATCTTGTTTAAGTAAGAGTTGGGGTTTTCGGTTTCGTGTTGAGGTTTTTCGAGTTCGATGCTTTGGACTAAATGCTTTTTTTCTGGTTTCAGTGAGAGTTGCGAAGATGAAAGAAAGAGAAAACGATGGGAATCTTGATAACAGAATCTTCGTGGGAGGATTATCTTGGGATGTTACAGAGAGACAGCTTGAGGATACTTTTGAACGCTACGGGAAAATCATCGAGTGTCAGGTCAACCACTATTGAATCTCCTTCTTTGCTTGTGCTGCATACATTTGAGTGATAACATACAGACGACCTCAAAATTTCAGAAACTCGTGTTTGGTGAATGATATCTCTGAGCTTGTAGGATAGTTTTGTTATGATCCTTAGAAGAATTGGTTTGATGCTCAAAAGATATTTGGAATATCTGTCATGTTTGAGATGTCTACTTGAGGAAGAACACACGACTGAGGTATCTTGAATTGTTGAAGGATGCAGTGGAGGAGGAATTAGTAGAGTTTTCTTAGGAAGTAAACGCGTATCTCTGCTCTCTCTCTTGATTCAATCATATGTTTGAGAGCATTGTGTTTGAAGATGCTCTAGTCAGCGGTTTTGACACCAATCAGGACTAACCATGTTTCATTATCTTGCTAGTGGTATCTGCTTCAGTAGTCACTGAGATGGGTTCTTTGTGCTCTTTCACCACGAGCTGCTATGTCAGTGTGATTGTTGGCACATGGAAGTGTTTCTTAGTAATCAATCAATATAAATTTATCTAAACACCAAGACGATAATGGTCTTGATCAGAATACTAGCCTTCTTTTTTAGTGGAATTAGATTGGTAAACCCATTTGCTGTGGTTTTCTTGTTTTCACGAAGGTAATTTGAAAGTAGTCTGGGGTAATATGTCAGTTGCAAGGGTTTAGAGTATGGTTGGCTAGAGGCTAATCTCCAACATCTTTTTGCTAGGATCATTGATATGGGAGATACTCCTTGTGGATATGTATTTCTACAAATGTGCAAGATGTAATTTGACATCGTGTTGTGTGATTCTAAGGACTTCCAATAAAGGAAAACTTTTGGTATATGGATCCAGAGCCTTAAAATGGTTTCATGGTTTTATGAAACTTTAGTATGCATCAGAAATATATATATAATATATTCCAGATTGGCATTGTGGACAGAATGTTCCGAGTATTTTACTGTCTTCTGTTTGCTTGAAAATATTCTATATATTCACTTCTAGAATAGCAATATAAGAGATAGGAATGTAATATATCTGCTTATGCTCTAATGTAACACCTCATTCTAAGTACTGTATCTTGTTCATGGCTCCGTATTCATATTGAAGCTCATATGATTTTGGCGAGGGTATCTGACAAATGTTTGCCAGTCGTATCTTTAATGCTTTAAGGTTCTTTCCCCTTACTCTTTTATTGGAAAATGTGTAATTGGATTGTTAGATATTGGCACTGGCTTGATATAATTTTGTTGTGTTGTTAATTTGCTATACATGCTTTGTTTTTAACATTTAGTTACTGCGCTAGGAAAATATTTTGCATAGAGGCTATTTTGCGCTATAATGAAGGATCAATGCGTTCCTTTTTGTTATGTATGAGTGGTTTTTACTTCTTTTTAGGTTGTAGTGTGTCAATATAAGTAATAATTTCTGCGCATATGTTGTATTTCAACTATTTTTCTAAATGATTGCTGTGGTGTGATAGGACCAAATCTCAGGTTCATCTTTTGGTTATACTTTTGCTATTTTATAACATTATCATCAGCCTTCTTTGTGTAATTGCAGATCATGGTGGGGAAAGATACTGGCCGTCCACGTGGTTTTGGGTTTATTACATTCACTGATCGCCAAGGAGCTGATGATGCAATTAAGCACATGCACGGGAGGGAGTTGGGTGATAGGGTCATCTCTGTGAACAAGGCTGAGCCGAAGGTTGCGGGAGAAGATGTAGATTGTTTTCGTAAGGGTGGCGGCTATTCAGCCAGAGGGAAGCAAAGCTATGGAGGAGGAGCTCCTGTAGCAGAAGATGGGTGCTTCAAGTGTGGACGCCCTGGTCATTGGGCTCGAGAATGCCCATCAACTGGTGGTGATCGAGGACGGTCCAGAGATCCGCTTCCAATGCGCTCTAGAATTCGAGAATTTGATGGACACCGAGATCGCTATGGA